GATATCAGATGGAGGATGGGGATTCTTCTCTTCATGGTGGCAGTAGGACGTCCTAGTCAAAGCCCAGGTTGGAGTCATTTACAGCATGATTTGTCATCTGGTTTCCAGGTGTGAGCGGCTCCTGATTGGCTGCCCCAATGGCCCACATCACCATCAACCAGTACCTGCAGCAGGTGAGCTCTAGGCTCCGCCCCCTTCGCCGTGTCCGGCTCCTCTGCTCTCCTTAAACCGGATCTGTTCTCCTGCAGATAACCGAGGCCATCGAGAACCGGGAGGGATCCTTCTGCGCCGAGCTGCTGTCCTTCAAACACCCCCATGTGGCCAATCCCCGCCTGCAGGTCAGGCCCCGCCCCTTCCGGAACGCTGTCGGTTGCTATGCGACGGCCTCACCTGTGCGTCTGTGTTTCAGCTGGCCAGTCCGGAGGAGAAGTGCCAGCAGGTTCTGGAGCCGCCGTACGATGAGATGGTGGCGGCTCATCTCAGGTGAGACTCTGACCTGAACTTCCTGTTTGGTTATTTTCGGTTCTGACGGCGCTCTGGCTTCCAGGTGTACGTACGCCGTGGCCAACCACGACTTCGTAGAGGCCTACAAGTTCCAGACGCTCGTCGTTCAATATCCTTTCTAAGGTCTGAGTGTTTGAGGTGTTCGAACCCAGTTCTGTCTGATCCTTGACGGCCGACGTCCTTCCTGAGAGCCTTCCAGTCCCACAAGGAGGAGAACTGGTGAGTCGCATCGCTCGCCGCCATCAAGGTGCCGCCGCCAGCGGGCGCAGCTAACGTCTGTCTGTGTTTCAGGGCGCTGCCCATCATGTTCGTCGTCACCCTGGACCTCAGGATCTTCGCCAACAACGTAAGAACCGTCTGCAACCAGAGGGGGCGCTACAGAAGGGTTAGGGTTGAGCTGCAACCATAGAACCGGATCAGATGAACCGGAACAGATGAACCGGAACGGATGAATCGGATCAGATGAACCAGATCAGATGAGCCGGAACAGATGAACCGGAACAGATGAACCGGAACAGATGAACCGGAACAGATGAGCCGGATCAGATGAACCGGAACAAATGAACCGGATCAGATGAACCGGATCAGATGAACCGGATCAGATGAACCGGATCAGATGAGCCGGAACAGATGAACCGGAACAGATGAACCGGAACAGATGAACCGGATCAGATGAGCCGGATCAGATGAACCGGAACAGATGAACCGGAACAGATGAACCGGATCAGATGAACCGGATCAGATGAGCCGGAACAAATGAACCGGATCAGATGAACCGGAACAGATGAACCGGAACAGATGAACCGGATCAGATGAGCCGGATCAGATGAACCGGATCAGATGAACCGGAACAGATGAACCGGAACAGATGAACCGGATCAGATGAGCCGG